GATATCAGTAGTATTGGTATCAGTGATACTGGCCTTCAGTCATAAAAAAAGGTGCCATTACACTTTGAAATGTATTTTCTTGAACTCTCTCTGTCTCAGACTGCTGGAGTGGTTGCCAGACATTCAGGAGGATGTGGGCTGGATGAAGGAGCAGACAGTGAAGCTGCTGCAGAGTGTTTTGTCACACGCGGGGAGGAGTGTGTCACAGCAGGTGTCTGCACGGTGAGAGACGACACACACACACACACACTCTGAGAGCACAGTCTGACCAGAAGCTCAGTCTCCAAGTCATTTCATATCATGCTAGCAGTATACTGTATATCACCATAGTTATTTTTGTTAGAATCCCCCAAATGCAACCATGTAGCAGTGTATAATCTTCTACAGTCTATTGACTTTCAAATGTTTATTTCATATTTTTCTGCTTGCTATCTTTTTTCATAGTTTTGTTCTCAGATAAATGTATTTTAAGGATGTTTAATCTTTTACCATTCTTCTTTCAGGATATTTAAATTCCAAGTACCTATTCAGTTAAAATTAAAAATATAATTTTGTACAATCTAGTGACTATAGAAATATTAGTGAAGTGTGTGTGTGTGTATGTGTATGTATATATATATATATATTTTTTTTTTTTTATAATTTTGTAAGTTATATGTACATTTTCATAAAATAATATTACAAAAGCTAATGCCTAATCAATTAAAATGTTAACCATATTTAATTTTATAAGTAAATGTTTCATAAGGATGTTAAATTAATGTTAAAGTTAAATTATTCAGTTATGTTTAGTTATATATATCATTTTTTATATTTATTTTTAATTTCATAAGTTACCTATGTGTGTGTGTGTGTGTGTATGTATATTTTTTCACATATTATAATACAACTTTATGTAATATAAATTAAATATAATTCTATATATTTAATTATTAATATTTTAACTTTGTAAATACAGTTATATGTAATTAATATTTGATTAATTATTAATTTAATTTATACATTTATTTTCAAATATTGTCATTTAACTTTATATAATATAAATGAAAAATAATCTATACTTATATTTAATTATTTTTAACTATATGTAAAGATTTACACATTTAATTATATATAATAAATTTTTAATTAATAATTTATTAATTTAGTTTATATAATTAATATATTAAAATTCACACACACACACACACACACACACATATATATATATATATAACTTGTGAAATTAACAATAAATATAAAAATAATATACAGTATATATATGTATGTGTGTGTGTATCATAAGTAAGTTTAATCTTTTAAAATTAATCTTTTCCAAAAAGAAAAAAAATTATCCAATTTCATATGCCTAATCGATTAAAAATAACATTCATGAATTATAAAGGAGTCTAAAATGCTCAACCCAGCTTAATGTAATACACAACATTCTCACAAATATTGACAAAAATACAACCGGAAGTGTTTATTTTTCTTTCTCTCTCAGCTTTTCATATCAGCTGGAATTGAAACATTCCCAGTCGGTCCCGGCGAGCTTCAGTGCGGTGCGTCTGCTGCCGGGCTGGGTCTACGGGGGCAGCTCCACAGTCCTGGATGCCATGCTGCGATTGAACCAGTACCAGCGCCAACTCCTGCCAGGCCTTTTCTGTGTCAATCTGGACCTCCGAGGGTCTTTCACCACCAGTTCAGCTCACCACAGTGCCTCCAGCTCCCTGAGCCACCAAGACGCAATAGAGGGTCTCACCATGCGTCCCATCGGAGCCCCAAACACCAGCCTGCTCCCTTAACCACGGGGCCTGACAGACCATTATATCCCACAATGCACTGTGATGATGCACAGGAACTTTGAGGTGAACATTTCAGTGTTTGATGGTCATCAGAAAGAAAACAAATGCTTTGCAAATCTTTGTGAGAAGTTTGATTCTGTCTCAGTTGAAAAAGGAGGTTTTGAGAATTACAATTAAGAAAATGTCAAAGAAAAGCAAAAAGAAAACACAGCCAGAGAATGTATTTAAAAGATATTCTGCACTTCATTAAATGTTCTTGGTTCAAGACAATTTAAGCATTTTTGGCATACTGTCCATTACCACAGGGAAAAAAAAGAAAAAAATTATATGTATGTACTGTACTGTATATATTAACAGTTCAGATGCAAAAGCCTCTAAGTGCCATCTGAAATTTTCATCTAAAATGAGCATTTTTATCAGGCTCCTATGTTTAGGTTATATATATACACACACACACACACACACACACACACACTTTGTATTACAGTATATTTATATACTATATATATATATATATATACAAACAATTAATATATATATATGTATGTGTATTTATCTCTTTTGCATGACATGCAAGGAAAGGAATTTTAATTAAGATGGGGCAAAATCCACTTACACATGAATCATGTCAGTAATATTGCAAAACCAGAAGTTCATCCACCTAGAAAACCGGTCTCTCCTCAAAAACATCCTTTACAGCTTAAAAAAAAATAAACTTTTTGATGAATAATTCATGCAAGTGCATTAACAAAAATACAAGCTTCACATTTTTTGCTTACTTCTATTTTAAGTGCATTACTGTATTTCTAAAGAACAGGACAAAAATGGAGCTAAATCTGTATTGAACCAAGAACATTCTTTAAAGACAGAACAGAAAGAAACGTAATTTCTCTCAGAATGTCCTTGAATGTGTCTCGTGTGTGTGTTGGTTCATCAGTATTTGTGTTTTGAAGGCACCTCAGCATAGTTTCAAACCTGAAAAAGTAAAGTGATCCGAGGCTGTTTCTGAAGGTTTATGCATGCAGACTGGTTCAAAGCAAACCATGTGACCATATGCCCTGGCAATGCAACATCAATGCTGCTATTGTACTGTACTGGCACGTGTTTATGTCTAAAGCATATTTCTTGCTACTTTTTGTACTGGTTGTAAATGCACCTTCTTGTTTTTTCTCTCGTTTGAAATGGTTGCCAGCCACAGATTAAGGTTAGTGCTGGACTAAAGTAATCTGTTAATCTATTGTAAATGCTTCAAAATCTGGGATTTGGCTTTAAGTGTGAGCCAGACAGTAAAAGACGCCTCCTAATCTGCATTTCTGCTCCGTTACAGTATTCTAATGTGAATGTTTAACAGACCTAATAAAGTTTTGACTTAGAATTCAACTGTATTTATGATTCATTGAATGTGTTCTCTTAAATTTATTGAATATGTATTCTTTTTTTTTTTGCAGTATATCAGCAAAGAATAATCTTATTATCAAGCTTTTCACATGCTATAGGTTGTTTTGAACCTTAAAGGTTCTACAACCAAAAGGAATGTTATAAGGTTCTGCTTTGCGCCTTTTTTGGCCTTTATTTTTAGGTGTTCGTTACTTTTAGTTTTATATTTTCCATTGCTGTTCCAAACTGTAAGTGTCTGAAGAACCTTTGCAAACCTCTCGACTTTTACAGCGCTGCTTTAATAGGAAGGCGATCGCTATCCACTATGCCAGTGGTTCCCAACACTGGTCCTTGAGGCACCCCAACACTGCACATTTTGCATGTCTCCTTTCTCTGACACACCAGTTTCAGGTCTTTGAGTCTCTACTAATGAGCTGATGACCTGTATCAGGTGTGTTTGATTAAGGAGGCATGCAAAACCTGCAGTGTTGGGGTGCCTCAAGGACCAGGGTTGGGAACCACTATGCCACAGCTCCGACTGATAGTCAAGTTCACGTGCGTGGGAGTTACTGCGTCATCACGGCCCTGCGTTTCTATTGGCTGATGAATTATTGCGCGCGACTCCACCCCTCCGCGCTTCTTCTTTTCGCGCCCGGCAGAGGGCGCCTCTCCTCCTCTCTGATTCCTTTTAGTGAATCGGTTCATTCGAACGATTCGTTTCAGTGGACACTCCAGTTGCGCGATTGCTGGGCGTTTTTTGTTGTAAAATCGCTGTTTTCGATTACTGATATATGTCACCCTGGACCACAAAACCAGCCATAAGAGTAATTTTTTAAAAATATAGATTTATGCATCATCTGAATGCTGAATAAGTAAGCTTTCCATTGATGTATGGTTTGTTAGGATAGGACAATATTTGGCCGAGATACAACTATTTGAAAATCTGGAATCTGAGGGTGCAAAAAAAATCTAAATATTGAGAAAATCGCCCAATAGCCAACAATACACTGTATGGGTCAAAATTATCGATTTTTCTTTTATGCCAAAAATCATTAGGAAGTAATGATCGTGTTCCATGAAGATATTTTGTCAATTTCCTACCATAAATTTATCAGTGATGTATAAATAGCAATTTAAAAAAATTAACACTTATGGCTGGTTTTGTGGTCCTGGGGAACATTTATTTTTTGTCGAACCTCCTCAGCGATTGATTCACAAACCCGAATCAGTTCGAGTGAATCACTTCAAAGAATCGGCTCAAACGAACAATTCGCACGTGAATCGGACATCACTTGTCTGATGCACTGAGTCTGAAACTCCCCGGGAGAGACCGAAGGAGGAAGATGGCGGCAACTGACCGTTCCCGGTCCGAAGCTGCAAAGCAGCGGCGGCAGGATCAGCTGCAGCGGTGGCGGGGCTCGGAGACGGATCGGACCGGGGCGGAGGCGAGGAGCCTGTGCTCCGCTCCCGGAAACCGACGGGCCCGAGTGCGCTTCGCCCAGGGCGCTGTGTTCATGGCCGCCTGCTCCGCCGGGGACCGGGAGGAGGTGGCGGAGCTCCTGCGACAGGGAGCAGATATCAACCACGCCAATATAGACGGGCTGACGGCGCTGCATCAGGTATCTGGAGCATGTTTGCTTGTTCACACTGAAGTTTGACTCGGTTTGGAAACTTTTGCCAAAGTTCACAAACTTTTCTCCTGTGGGTCGATGACAAGCAAGGATGTCTAACTCAGTGGTTCCCAACCCTGGTCCTTGAGGCACCCCAACACTGCACGTTTTGCATGTCTCCTTAATCAAACACACCTGATTCAGGTCATCAGCTCATTAGTAGAGACTCAAAGACCTGAAACTGGTGTGTCAGAGAAAGGAGACATACAAAATGTGCAGTGTTGGGGTGCCTCAAGGACCAGTGTTGGGAACCACTGGCATAGTGGATAAACAGGAGACAACTCTTAAAAATCTATTTTAATATCTGCCAGAAATGTTATCTTCGTGTTCATTTTTTCATACGTTTTTTGGGGGAAAAAAATTAAACCGCTTTATACAAAAAATATGACGTTTAATAATGTCAATGATGGAAGCATCAAGTAAAAAGTAGTGAAGTACTAAATACATGGGCGTGTACAGTTTAATTATTGTTTTTAACCATATTTGAGTCAAATTATAAGTACTTTTTAAAGGCTACTCAATTTGACCCAAATAAAAAATGGCTTTTCATAAAGAAATTATAATATGTGATATTATTAAAAAGTTAAATGAATAGGGTCTAGAGTGGTCTTCTGTGTTTTAGGTGCAGGTTTGTTATGCCACACTGACTTCGATTTGACAGACAAATGTTTTCACATATTAATTATATTTTGAAACAAAATTGGTGCTTATTTTTAATGACGTAACATTAAAAAAAGAATGGCAACGTTTTTTTGTTTTAATTTAAAACAAAATTTTTCTTCTTTTTCTTCATAGTTGCCTTTAAAAAATATATTTTTTAAAGAGATAAGGAAACAAAAAAAAACAGAATTGTGAGATTTAATCTCAGAATTCAGAGAAAAGCATCAGAATTGTGAGAGAAACTTTGAATTGTAAGATGTAAATGCAGAGTTTAAAAAAAAGTTAGAATTCTGAATTTTTTCCTGAAATTCTGAGTTTTTTTCCCCCAGAATTCTGAGTTTACATTTCGTAATTCTGTGTTTAAGTTGCAGTTATCTTATTTTTATTGATTTATTCCCTGGCAGAAACAGGCTTTCATACTAGTACATTTTTGACGTAAAGCTGCACAAAAAATAACAAAATTACTTAAATTCACAAATTAAAAATATTAATTGTAGAAAAGGTGTATTCAAGCAAATTTTTGTATAATTCTTAATGTATTAAGAAATGAGCATCATTGACCTCTATATAATATATAAAGTATTATTTGGTTTAACTAGTTCATTATAACAGACGTATTAAAGTGGCGATTTAAACCTAAAGTGACTTTGAAACTCAGTTGCAAACTGTACAAACTTTTAAATGCCCAAAGTCTAGAATCACATTGGCTGTTTTAGGCCTGAAGTCTGTTATTTTGACGTGTGTGTACTATTGTAATATGACAAACTGTATTTCCAGGACATAGTTTTAGTGGTCTTGTTGTTGGGTTGTCTTGCTGGCGTGGTTTTGCTTCTGGACTAGTTGTGTTCCTCTGGCGCAGATGAATCTGGACTCTCTGTGTAGTTGTTTGCAAGATGTTCTTGCAGTACCAGGGTTGCTGTTGTTGTTTTAATGCCGTCCAGGGAGTGTCTTGGGCCCGTCACGTTTAATGTGGCGACTCCACCGTACCAGCATTCAGACTGAACTGGCATAGCAAGACTTTCCTCATATCTTCTGAGCTGGATCAGAGAATGGCTGGAATTCACGCCGGCCCTTTTCATTCGCTGTTTGTTTTTGTTTTGTTCTTTTTTTCTTTTTTCCTCTCAGCTGTGTATGTTTTTTTTTTTTTAATGACATGTTTAGGAGGGGTTATTTTTGGCTTTTGTTGTCTCAGCCTTTTGTTCCGACAGTAAAGTTTTCTTCAGAAACCAGCTAATCCTGATATAGAGCTTTGAATGGCTGTTTTTTAGTTGAAAAATGATAGTATGTTTGAGGTAATTGTTATGTCTGCTTGAATCTATTATCACAAGCTTCTGTTGAAGAGAGCCACTCAAAACACAGCAGAAGGTTTTGCTCAAATCCACTCTAGGCTTGAAAAAATATGAAGTGCACGCTTTTTTGATTCAGAAAGGTGGTCATGTGGTTACATAGCGAGGGCAGCTATTGGCTGGCGCTCTGCTGATGTTTGATTGAAGTTTCACCGGTATTCTGAAGTTCTGTGGAACAGCGGCTTTGAGTCTCACATGAGCTCTTCAAAGTGAATGTACCACGCATTCTCTAATCTATCGTAACCAGGAACAAGTCATATTTCTATGGAAGCCTGTTTCTGCCACAGGATATAAAAATAAAAAGGCAATGATGAGAATAGAATTGTAAGATATATTTTTCTCGCAATTCTGAGTTTACATCTTGCAGTTTCTGACTTTTTTCTTCAGAATTGTGAGATATAAACTTAAAAACTTTACTCAGTTGTAAGTCGCTTTGGATAAAAGCATCTACTAAATGACTAAATGTAAAATTGTAAGGAAATTAAGTCCAAGTTGTAAGTTAAAGGTTGCAGTTACATTCATTCACTCACTCACTCACAAACAAGCTTCCATATATTTCACCCCAAAATAGAACGGAATTATATTTTTCAAATGGTTTGCTATACATACACAAACACACACAAATATAAATATACAAATACAAATGTGTTGGTTAAATTATATAAATTGAGTCTTTTTTCTTTTTTTTTTTTAGGACCTTTAAGATTTTTAGCATTATTTTTATGACAGTTAAACACATTTTCCACTCAAATTTCTCTTTCCGTAGTGCAAGAAAAAAAAAATGGATACATTTATTTATGTTGTAAAGAATTGATACATCATGGTAGTCTATGTTGTATTGCATTTAATTTGATAATTATTTTATAAAAACATTGGAAATTAATTACAATGATTTTAACAATGAATTGTAAATATTTTTATTTGTAATATATAATTAATGTGTTATCTAAAAATAGGCTGTTTATATGTATGTATAAATTAAATTAAGAAATAATTAAGAACTAAATAATGAATTATTACTAATTAAACATTAAAATACTTAAGGTTTTTATATCTAATTTCTATATATATATATATATATATAAAGTTATTTAATTATGTTTGAAGAAAAAGTGTATGAATTAAATTTTATATATATATGTATGTGTGTGTGTATAATGTATAAATGAAAGTGGGCTAATTAATAATTCAAATTTCATAGATAGATAAATAGGTTTTAACACTTGAACTACGAGAAATATTGAATGTTTAGGTTGGATTTATGAGATACAATAATACACTAGTCACTGTCTGAGTGTGTTTCTGTCAGCGTATCTTAGTGTGTACGGTGTTGCCATGACATGAATATGCAGAAATTCATGAGAGCATAAAATAAAATGAAACCACAGTTTCTTGATTGCTAACTGGGAACACACAGCCTGTGTGTGTGTGTGTGTGTGTGTGTGTGTGTGTGTGTGTGTGTGTGTGTGTGTGTGTGTTTGGCTCTGGACAGAATCAGTGTCACATTCTGTCAAAGACACTGTTTTGGCCTCTATACACACACACACACACACACACACACACACACACTCGTCCTCTCCGTCACAGATAGAGTTACAGCGATGGTTTACCTTCCAGTGGTCCTAAAGTAAACAGCCGTTCGGTTCACAGATGGACAGGACGGAGGATTGTGAGCAGATCTTCTCTTAAAGGTTCCTCAGAAGAACCACCAGCTTGAGTCAGTCCTCGGCATTTATATATCTTATGTATGTTGTATATCTCAGCAATGCAATTGTTATTATTTTCAAAATGTATAATAATTTATCGCAATTGTAGCTTTGTAGCTATAAAGAACAATTTAAAGCCAATTGAAGTACCATATTAAATTTTAAATTATACCATTATTAATACATTTATTATACCATTATATTTATACCATATTAAAGTATTTTGGAAAGTTTGGACGCTGTTTGTCCTGACTTATATTCATTTTCATATTTATATCTGGTCCTAAATACTGGTACATCTTTCTAGTTTAATTATGTTACATATATTTTATTTAGTTAAATTAATTACTATTATTATTTAGTATAATTTTTTTCATATTTATATTCCTGTTAGCATGGATGCAAAAACATATCAGATTTGATTGATAAGTAAATAATTATTTTCATGCTGTGGCTTCTGACCAATAAATGGTAGATATGTAAACATACACTTTTTGTCCAAAATAAATAAATAAATAATAAAATAAAGGGTTAAACGTATCCTGTAATCTTGTGCTGCACCTTTAAAGTTATCGATAGGTGTTGTATAAAGTGATATTAAGTCTAAAAATATTAAGATTAATCTTGAGATTCCACATTGAAATATACAACATCAGCAGATAAGTTTGTAGTCATGTTCATATTTGTATTTGCACATATAATTATATTAATATTTTTTGGTATTCTTATTTATATTCACATTGCATTTTTGTATTGTACATTCCAGTTTTATTTTAGTGTCATTATAGTGCTTCTTAATATTTTGGATCAGTTTTTATCACTTTCATTTTAGCTTTAGTAATTTTTTTTGTATTTTTTATTTTTAGTAGTTTTTAAAAATATATTTGTCTGTATAGTTTTTATTCATTTTTATTGCCATTATTTTAGTAAATAAAAAAAAAATACAGTTTTTAAAATATTTTATTTCAAGTAATGAAAATGGTTTTAGTTAACTATAATTGCCCTAGTACATTAATATTCATGTTTATATTTAGTATTTATTGTAATAATCGTTACGAGTGTCGCTGCTCATCCCGATCTCGGTCCTATTGTCCCGTTGTTGCTTGGTAACAGGAATTAAATATAGTCAGTGCTCTTTATGTTTTTCCATGCCTTCCATCCAAAGGCTTTCTCTCTCTGTCGTTCTCCAGTGAGCGCATGGAAAACATTCTTCATGCTCTCTGAGTCACACACACACACACACACACACTCATTCAGTGACCTGTCAAGAACTTCACACCTTCTCCATACAGAAGGTTCCCAGTGTTCCTCAGAAACCCACACAAACACACACAATGAGGAAGGGGGCATGAACAGAGCGGCCTTCTGTTCTGCTGCACACAGAGAGCAGAGCGAGCGCAGCGTATGTGGAGATTTCTATAGGCACTCCTCTGGGAGCCGCTCGCTTTGGCTGTCAAGCCTTTTTCCCCCGTCGTGCCTAAAAACACACGTTTTATCAGTGGTAAAATCACTGTAACATGTGGCCTGTCTGCTGTTTGCAGTAGCATAATGTCTGCGGATTCTTAGATATTTAAACTAGCTAAACAATGTACAAGCTGCACTACAATGTACTAACAAACATTTTCTACGTTTTTTAGTTACGTAGATATCATTAGATATTATAGCTATATAAATAAAAATATAATTAAAAAGTGGCCTCTTAAATAGCTTGATGGCTACTTATTGTTAGTGACTTTATATTTATACACAACCGTTTGCGGTTGGTAAGAAGTTTGAATGTTTTTAAAAGAAGTCTCTTCTGCTCATTAATGCTGCATTTATGTGCTCAAAAATCCAGTAAAAACAGTAATATTGTGAAATATTATTACAATTTAAAAGAGCTGTTTTCTATGCGAATATATTTTGAAATGTAATTTATTCCTGTGATGCAAAGCTGAATTTTCAGCATCGTTACGCCAGTCTTCAGTGTCACATGATCCTTCAGAAATCATTCTGATATGCTGATTTGCTGCTCATAAAACATTTCTTATTAATATAAATGTTGAAAAAAGCTGATTAATATTTTTGTGGAAACCGTTCTTCCCACAGGTTTTTCCCACCAAAATAACTGCATTTATTTGAATCTTTTGTTATTTTATGAATGTCTTTACTATCACATTTGATCAATTTAATGAGAATAAAAGTATTAATTCCTTCCTGAATAAAGTATAAATTAAAAAAAATCTAACATTAGAATTATATGTAATTATATGGTTGTATGTATTTCTTTCTTTATTAATTTACCTTACGTTACTTATTTAACTTACTGACTTACTTTATTTACTGACTCGGGTCAGGTTGACCGTTCAATTATTTACTTTGCTTAGTTACATTACTTACTAATTCAGGTCATGTTGCCCATTCAGTTACTCACTTTACTTAGTTACTTTACTTGATTACTTACTAATTAAGGTCACTTACTTAATTCACTTAATTAGTCACTTACTTATTTACTTTACTTACTAACTCGGGTCATATAATTACTTAATTTACTTAGTCACTTACTTTAACTTAATTTACTTAGTTACTTTAATTACCATACTACTTGACTTACTAACTCAGGTCTGGTTGGGTCTTAGATACTTAGGTACTTACTTTACTTACTAAGGTCAGGTTGACCATTCGATTACTCACTTTACTTACTTTACTAACTCAGGTCAGTTACTTAATTTACTTACTTAGTCACTTACTTTACTCAGTTTACAGTTACTTTCTTTACTTACCTTAGTTACTTACTAACTAGAGTCAGTTTATCGTTCAATTACTTAATTTTCTTACTTAGTCACTTACTTTACTTACTTTACTTAGTTACTTTACTTACTAACTCAGGTCAGTTTACCGTTCAGTTACTTAATTTACTTACTTAGTTACTTTACTTACCTTACTTAGTTGCTTTACTTACTAACTCAGGTTAGGTTGACCACTCAGTTACTCACTTTACTTAGTTACTTATCTTAGTTACTTTACTTACTAACTCTTTAATTTTCACAGTCACTTACTTTACTTAGTTATTTACTTACCTTACTTAGTTACTTTACTTACTAACTCAGGTCAGTTTACCGTCCAGTTATCAAACTTGGAACAGAAAAAATTGCACTAACAATCTAAACAACTTCATTTATTTTATAAAACCTTATGTAACTATATTTATATATATTGTTTTATATATTTTTTTATTTATTTCAATTAATGTTTATTTATTTTCAAGTATTGAGAATTTTTTTATGGTGTTAGTTTTAGTTAACGACAATAGCCCTGTTCTAAACCATAAACATTTTAATCATATTCATTCTCAGCCGTAACATAAAATTTCTACATTTTTACAGTTTCAGAAGAGAATCTGAGTTTTGGTCAGAATGACTATATTAGAAAATTTCTCTTTGTTATTATGCAGGTTTATGTTGATTAAACACATTTTCTGGTTCTCTCCTCAGGCCTGTATTGATGAAAACAAGGCCATCCGAGATGTTAATGAGTTTGTTTCTTCATCAGAGAAATGCAGCATTACATCACATTCTCAGCAATGGATCCTCTGCAGTGAATGGGTGCCGTCAGAATGAGTCCCAAATGGCTGATAAAAACATCCACAAGCAATCCACACCACTCCAGTCCATCAGTTAACATCTAGTGAAGTGAAAAGATTTGTTTATAAGAAACAAATCCATAATTTTAAGGTGTTTTAACTTCAAACTGGTGCTAAAATGCAAGTCCTCTATCCATAATATTGCTTCCTCCAGTGAAAAAGCCATCTCGTCTGAATCAGGAGAGAAATCTGCACAGATGATTGATTTATTTATAAGAAAACACACAGCTTTTCACTTCACAAGACATTAACTGATGGACTGGAGTTGTGTGGATTATTGTGATGTTTTTATCAGCTGTTTGGACTCTCATTCTGATGGCACCCATTCACTGCAGACATTTACATTTATCCAAATCTGATGAAGAAACAAACCCATCTACATCTTGGATGGCCTGAGTGGGAGTACTTTTTCAGCAAATGTTAATTTTTGAGTGAACTATAACCCGAACAAACTGATCTGGAACAACAAAGACTCACGGTCCCTTAAATTACCTGTAATATAATATGTTATATACTAAATCTAAAAAAAAAAAAAGGCCTGTGCCACCTGGGAAAGCATTATAATCGCTGTTTTTGAATGAACTTTCAGGTATAGATGTGGACCAGGCCAGGAGAGACGAGGAGAGAGTGATGCTCCAGGATGCCATGGCCGTGTTGGCAGGAAGTGGCTCTCTGGTCCCTCATCCGAACACTCAGGCCACAGCGCTGCATGTCGCTGCTGCTAAAGGATACATTGAGGTGTTAAAGTGAGTGCGAGACACGTCGCACTAGACACTAAATGAGTATTTAGTGTTTTGAGTCCGTTGAGACATTTTCAAGAATCATCATGCATCTGTTTTCGGGTAAAACTTTATTTTAAGGTGTCCTTGTTCCACATGTTACATGTACTTACTATTATAATAACAGTTAATTATGCATAATTACATGCAAGTAACCCTAATCCTAAACCTAGCCATATAGTTAGTACATGTAGTTAATTAATATTACTCAGTACTTAAATGTATAATTACACTGTTACAAGGGCACCTTCAAGGGTTAGTTCACCCAAAAATGAAAATTAGCCCATAAATTACTCACCCTCAAGTCATCCTAGACGTACACGACTTTCTTCTTTCAGACGAATTCAGTCGGAGTTAGATAAAAAATTGTCTTTGATCTTTCAAGCTGTTTAATGGCACTCAGCGGGTGTTGCATTGCATCAGTCCAAAAGAAGTGAAATAAAAAGTGCCCATCCATAGTAAAAAGTGTCTCACACGGCTCTGGGGGGTGATCAAAGGCCTCCTGTAGCGAATCAATGCGTTTTTGTACGAAAAATAACCATATTTAAAACTTATTTAACCATATATAAAACCATATTTATGGATGGGCGCTTTTTATTTCACTTCTTTTGGACTGAAGCAATGCAACTGGCGCTGAGTGGCATTAAACCGCTTGAAAGATCAAAGACAATTTTTTATATAACTTCGACTGGATTCGTCTGAAAGAAGAAAGTCATATACACCTAGGATGACTTGAGGGTGAGTAATTTATGGGCTAATTTTCATTTTTGGGTGAGCTAACCCTTTAAAATAAAGTGTAACCAAGCTCTCCTTTCAAAGCATTGGAGTCTTTGTGTTTCTCTGCTCGTCAGGGTGCTGCTGAAGTGTGGGATAGACGTGGACAGTCGGGACAGTGATGGCTGGACGGCTTTTCACGCGGCGACTCACTGGGGACAGGAAGAGGCCTGCACTCTGCTGGCTGAACACATGTGTGACATGAACGCTGTCAGTAATGTGGTACGGGGGTCTATTGTTACCCTAAAGGGGTTTATTTTACAACAACGACAGGCTGAGTGGACATTTATGGTGCCTACATGAAAAAATACTATAGTAATTTATAGTAAATACTACTTTATAGTGTTTTTGAACCATACTATAGTAAAGTGTATTATAATGTATATGTTATAGTATTTACAACACTCCAGCATACTGGAGTAGTGAACTGTAAGAAATACTGTAGTATACTTTAGTTTTTACTACAGTAAACTGTAGTGTATTGTAGTATAATATACCCTATAGTTGTAGAAAACTTAGTACAGTATTGGGTAAAGTAATGTGTTTATATTACTATAGTTGTTATATTACCACAGCAACTATAGAATTACCACAACAAATTAATTCTAGTACTTTACTATAGTATGGTTCAAAAACACTATAGTATTTACTATAAATTACTATAGTATTTTCAAAATAAGTAAATAGATGGCTACAAATATAAAATCTTGTAAGTAACCAGTTACAATCAAGTATTCATTGTGTATTTGCGTATCATAGGGGCAAACTCCACTCGACGTAGCCGATGAGAACATCGTTGAGAACTTGGGAGAACTGCAGAAGAAGCAGAACGCTGTAAGTTTTGCTTGCGTTTATGTCCGTTATCTTATCACCTCTTTGGTTTATGTTCAAAGAATGCTTTCACTCCGAGCAAATAAGCAGATATCTTTGCCGCACGAATGTCCAAAAAACAACAGTGTTTTTTTCTGTGTGCTGTAAGGAGCCAAAGTCATCAAACACACCTCCGCTTGTACTTGACAGAACTGCGTGTTCAGTATGAGGATATTTCAAGGAAGTGTGTGCAGTTAAGGTTGAATGCATCAGTGGTGTTTTTAATAGGAATTTACGACACGTACCTTTTTTGTGGTGTCAGATGATCAGCATTAATAGCCCTATTAATGCGCAAGTATGTCCTAGTTTATTGCAAGTTGCTAGTTTGACGGGAGAGTAATGAGTCATTTAAAAGAATTGAATCTCACAAGGTCACAACTGAGATCATAGGATATATATATATACATATATTGTTATCAATATATTTTGAGTATATAAATATAGGCCTGTAATTTTCATCATAGGTATACCTCAACTATGAGAGACAAAATGAGAAAAAAAATCCAGAAAATCACATGTGCAATTAATGCATGGTTTGTTAGGATAGGACAATATTTGACCGAGATACAACTATTTGAAAATCTGGAATCTGAGGGTGCAAAAAAATCGAAATATTGAGAAAATCGCCTTTAAAGTTGCTGCAAACACTGCAAACAAGTACTGGAATAAATAAACAATTATTATTATAAAAATATTTTTAGTATATACATAAAGAAATACAAATTTGCTTCATGCAGAATATAATTTCTTTTTTCTTTCTTTTGTGGTGATATATGACACATTTTTGACTATTTCTGTCAGGTTTACCCTTATTCATGCTAAAATAAAAAGATGAGGGATAGTTATGGTTGAATTATTTGGGAATTGATGTTGAATTATTAACAGCTGTTGTTGTTGTTTTTATCTCCTAAAGATGCGTTCAGAGAGACAGAAGATCCAGACGCCCGTCATTGAGACCAGCCCACCTGTTTCCATGGCGCCAACTCGCCCTCGCAGGTAACATACGGAAACAGATTTTATTGGACTGTCCCGCTTTTAATGTATGTAGAAAACTCTTTTATAATTTTGCCAGAAAAAGTTTTAGAATTTTTATCATATGTTAATGTCAAAACAAATTGTGTAATATAACTTTATTTGTTTGTTTGCTGGTTTTTATAGTTTTTTTTAATTTACTTATATTTATTCAATTGTTTATGCCATGAAAACAGCCTAACATCGTGTCCTAACTACATGCGACGCGACAAGATTCCAGCGGCAATCAATTTGGGTGTCCACACCAAACGCGACGCGACAGAATCAATCAAATATCTCAGCCAATCGGAAGTGTGTGTGGGCGGAGCCTCTCTTGAAGCGCACTGCACTCGCAACGAAATGGATACGTTTATAAATTCGTAAATATGAAACCTTATTAACATTATTAAATGTACATACTGAGTGACTGATACCATCTTTGACATGGAATAGACTCGTTGGTTGGTTCGCAACGAGTCCACGGTTTTAACGGACATCTTTGCTTTAATTTATTTTCAAGATCGGAGGGAAACTATCTTTTGTTGCTTTCAGTATGGCTATAAGGTCATGCAAAATGATATTTAGTGACACGTTTAACTTTGAATAAAGCACATAATCACCTGAGATTATCTACTGTCATATAGTTTGAATGTTGTTGTTCCAGCCGCGACGTCACAGAAATCGAAACCGTTTCTAAATGAGAAATTTCGCGTGTCGCTAGTTAGGACAAAACCTTTGATTAACATGGAAAAGATACCTTTTTTTCGCGTGACACGGCGTCGTGTCATGTGTAGTTAGGACACGGTGTAAGATGCTGACATGGCATTAAATAAAAAATATACTACTACTAACATCACATACGGTGTCCGATTACGCATCACTTCCTGTTTGACAAACCCCAGATTGATTCACCATCATTTCAGAGTTATTTTTCAGTACTGAAGCAAGTGTATCGTTGAATCAAAAACCGATTCATTATCGCATATTGTGAATGTTCAGTATATAGTTACATCACATGACTTATTCTCTGCTCTCACTGATTGGCTGATTTTCACGTCACCTACAGGACGTCCATCTCTCGTATGAGCAGTAAAGAGAAGATCACCCTGCATGAGCGAGAGAAACATGCTCCGCCCTCACTCCAGACTCCGCCCACAGAAGAGGACGAGGACGAGTCGTCGCGCACAGCCGGCCAATCCAAACCCTCCAGCAGCTCCAGTTCAGAGGAAGAGAGCGAATCAGAGAGTGACGCCGAGTCAGGTGACCAAACCCCGCCCGTTTTTGTTCTGGAAAACAAAAATCACATTAGCTAACTGGTGATTTTTTTTCTGTATCTTTTCAGAAAAAGCAAAAACTCGAGAAATGATCAACAACTTGAACAACAAACGCAATGCAGCGCCCGTAGCGAGCTCTGTGACCAACACTGCCCTTAACCAGGTTAAAAAGGTGACCAGAGAACTGCTAATGATAAACTGCTGTCATTTAGAGCTTGTATATCCAAAACGATTTGGCAAATTTCTGGCTTTCGATTAAATTATTGATGCTGATTTTCTGAATCCAGCCACATTTTCTGTACAGCACAACTATTTGACAGCTGTTTTCTGTAGTACAAAGTGCTAATATATACTAAAATAGTCACAAATCAATTCATATGGCCACTAACAGCCAATTCAGCAGCCAAAAATTATTATTTGAGTGGCTGATGATAATAAAATTATCACAAAAAAAGCTAAACAATTATTGCTGTGGCTATATTTGAAAATTTTAATTAATGTATTTGAATTTTGGAGTAAAAAATGTATTGTGAAAATATAATACAATATTTATTTTATTTTAAAATTGTTCATATTTTATTTTATTTTTTAAATTTTAACTAAAGCTTTAGTAATTTTTCATTAGTTTTTAAAATGTCTGTATAGTATTTATACATTTTTATTTCAGTTTTAGTTATTTTAGTACATCAAGTTAAACTAAATGAAAATGTTGGCAACTTCCTGAAAAAAAATATGTTTAGGGTTTTATTTCATTTCAAATAATGAAAATTGTTTGTTGTGTTACTTTTTGTAATAAACCTTGTAAGAATTATATACCTATAATAGAATGCATATAACATTGATCAAAAACAGAACCATCATAACCACCCAGCCCTCATACATATTAATGTGTAAATTCACAATAATGTACAATATTTGAAAGTATTTGTAATAATATAATATAATGTGTGGTGTGCCTGTAGGCTGAACCCGTCCGGACCCCGGTGACAGAGGCTCCAGGTTCCTGGAGGACGTCTTTGCGTAAAGCAGGAAGTTCTGTGACCCTGGGCTCGGCCGGGGCCTCTGAGCCAACCACTGAGGCCCTCAAGGACCCCGAGACTAAACTGGGAATGACACGCTCTGCATCCAGTCCCAGACTGAGCTCTGAATCTGACAATAAGGTGACACACATATACGCACTGTATGGGTGTGCACAGTAATTTTATGTCACTGTAATTATATCAATAAATCTAGTTCATTTTACAATAGAAATGTTTTTCTCAATTGAAAGATGTTTTATATATTAAATAACCATGTGATGAGGCCTATTGTTGGACAGTCCAGTGAATTAAAACATTTACAAATTAAGATGTTTTTTTTTTTGTTTGTTTTTTTACAAATTTCTTTTATTCATCAAAGATGCATTAAATTGATCAAAAGTGACAGTAAAGACAGTTATAATGTTACAGAAGATCTCTATTTCAAATAAATGCTGTTCTTTTGAACTTTCTATTAATCGAAGAATCCCGAAAAATTTTGAAAGTGCTAAAAATGGCAAAAAAAATGTTTTAGGAATGTTCGAAAGACTGGAGTAATGATGCTAAAAATTCAGCTTTGCATCACAGGAATAAGCTAAATTTAAAAATATATTTTAAATGGTAGTAATATTTCATAATATTACTGTTTTAACTGTATTTTTGATACATTTGTGAACCCTTTTTCTTTCAATATTGTATTGTATTATATTATACCTCAAAGTTATGTAATTTCCTGTGTTCAGGAGCCCAGGTTGGCCCGTGTTCAGCCCACTCCGTCCAGACGCCTTTTCAGCATCAGTGACACCAGCACCAACCCCGACAACTCCAGCAGGTGAGAGACACAGGAAACACAAAGACTATTTCCTGTTCTGAGAGTCTTCCGAGCTCATCCATCCTCTGTGTGTGTGTGTGTGTGTGTGTGTGTGTAGCTTGTTGAGCCGCAGCTCTTCATACACGCGCCGATTGAACAGCCAGTCCGGCGCTGAAGTGTCGGCTCCGAACCCCTCGTTACCTCGCAGCTCGTCTTATGGAAGGAAACTTGACGACCCTTCAGTGACCTCTGTAACCACGGCAACCTCTGGACTGAGTCGCCTCAGTAGTCTAGTGGCTCAGAGGTGCGTGTGTCTCTGATCGCGTGTGATTTGACCGTGTCTTTGTTGTATTCGTACGATCTGGTGTGTCTCTCGCAGGTCGGCTCAAGAAGAGGCCGAAAGGAAGGAGCCCGTCTCGAATTCTGTAACCACGACAACCACATCAGGCGAGCCAGAGACCAAACAGAGACGCAAGTGAGTGTGTGATGATTTCCACACGACAGAGTGCTAATAAACCTCCATCCTGCCGGAAAAAACACCTCATACTAGCCCATGTACACCCTTTTGACCCATGTACTTTCTGAAAACACTGTGAATGATGTGTGTGTGTGTGTGTGTGCATATATATATATGTGTGTGTGTGTGTATGTAATTTTTTTTATTATGTGTACATATATATGAATTCGATCTTTTTGATATTTTTGCTGCACAAATTTTCTCTCTCTATAAAATAATAAATTACATAATTTACTTTAGATTAATTTTAGTGCTGTCAAATCGATTGATTGCATCCAAAATAAAAGTTTACATAATATGTGTTTGCGTAACACATACATGTATATATTTAAGAAATATTTACATGTATGTATTCATATTTATATATGATTTATATTATATATAAATATATATTACATATATTTCTTAAATATACAAATGTATGTCTTTTATTTTTTTATGTAATTAATCTCGATTAATTGATTTGATAGCACTAATTAATTTATATTACATTT